TGCGAGATCAAGCCTCGAGGGACGGGTCGCCAGTGGAAGGAAGCTTTGGAACAGTTGTCTGTGACGATGCGTGACTTTGGGGCACCGAGCATCAAATTGAACTAGTCTAAGGTCCCTTTTAAGCATAGTGTTCGACGGAAAAAACGCAAAAAGGGCGGGTCTCCAGATCAGGCAGAACGTCCAATTCCGTTTACAGACTTCGTATGGTCCGTACTGCTGGTACGTAGCGGTTTTATTTTAATGTTGATTGCGGAAGTACAATAGCCACACATTCAGAAAGCAGACGAACTCGAGTAGCCGAGGCCCCAAAATTATACCAGGCGCTCAAATATATGAACTACCAAAGGCTGCAAGCTGACTGGGCAAATAAGCATTAGGATCCTATCTCGCACCCGCACTGGGAGCCACATCTCTGCAGCAACGGCAAGCCAAACGTCTGAGACATGGAAAATGAAAAATTGCAGCTCGCAAACTACGGACGATTTGAAAATTACCTTGCAAAGAACAATAAGTTTGTGGAGGACTAGCAAAAACTTTAGATTAACCAGTTATCTAGAGTGACAAAGCGGTTAAGCTGTGTATGTTGATGAGAGGATAAGGCTGTTCAGAAACAATAACTTACTGCTGCCATATTGAAGGACGTGTTAAAACAGTTTTGAATGACCTTCAGGCGGCGCACATAAGGGGCAATTTCAGGGATTCCCATGAAAATGTGCAAGATTTTGCCTGCTTCTCTGTGAATTTGATTGATTAAAATCCTAACTTCCGAGGAGGGAGTGTCACAGCTAGGTTTGAGTAAAACTAACAGAAGGGTGGGATTAATACCAGGCTAGCGGCCAGGGCTGAAGTTGGGACAGGTTTCAGAGATTGATTTAGAGTTGAAATCGGGGTAAAGTTTGCGGTCAGGGTTAGGGTTACCTTAGGTTTGCGGTTCGGAGGTTTTAGGTAACTAGAACTTGTGCAAGAGTTTTGCTTATGACCAGAACCCGAGGCGGGTATAGGGTAAGGAGTAAAGTTAGACTTAGTCCCTAGACTAAGCTAAATCTTTTGCTAATCCCCTTGTCCCACCCCTGCCATAAACCTAAACCTTCCCAATCTCCGAAAATTTCGGAACGTTGTTTTGAAAATTTTAACTCGAACA